ACACGTGATATCACGGGGTTCTAAAGCTCCAAGGACCCCAATTCTGGCTGCCACAGTTAGCGATGTGTCTCGACCCAGTGTGCGACCAGTTTATTGGGCCGCGTCGTCGCTTGGGCGCTCACATCAAACTCGAACTGCCGAGCGTCGGTTTTCACGAAATGCGGCATGTAATTTCGGCTGAAAATGCATTGCGATCGCGGAAACTGAGGACGCCATCTCTTTCTTATTATGCTATAAGGCGTGTTGCGTGTGGTCGACGGAGGCAGCGTGCGCTCGATATCGCACTGTGTGAACTCCATACAGTATTTCGGAATGAGCAAAAAAACACTATAATTACCGCCGTCATTTTCTCTCGCTACAGAGCTCGCACGGCGACGCTACAAAGCATTTTGGACTCCCCAACGTGCCCTTTAGCACTCTGGAGAGTATGGGCGATTTCATTTATAAACTTCATTTTAGTCGATCCGCCAGGGCGACGAGCCACCCTAAAATATGGCTATTTGTGGTTGCAAATGGCGAACGCCAATAATATCTGCCACGTCGTGCCATGCTGAAATTCACTCTTGCCTGTGTCTCCGTTCCAGCGACAACTACGGTAACTTTCAACTAAATAGTACGCGATCTTTGATTAGGACGATACCAATCCGACTTGTTCATCAACACCGTCCAAGAGCAGCACAATGTGGCGTAGCTGGGACTCGACGACGCGGTGCGCGTCCGAGTCGAGGCGCGTCGCTGCGCTCGTCGCCGCATCCCGTAGCTTCGCAGACCACTCAGTGTGGGTTTGCAGAAGCGCGAGCGCGCGCCGGTTGTTGTAAAGAGCCACCAAACGGCGCAGGACGCGTGAATTGCGACAATGACGTCGGACGCCGCCACAAGCGTAACGAGCGCCGCGAGCACCGACTGCCACTGGACGAGTGTGTTCTTGCCCATGGGCGCACACGCCATGTGACGCACCCAGCGCGTCGTCGCCTGCAGTACGATTGGCGCTGCCAAGAGGTCGGCAAAGATCACATGCAGTCGCGTGCTGGTGCCGAGCTCGGTGCGGCCGTCCTCGACGCTGGCGACGTTGGCCAACACTTCGACGAGCGGACCGACAGCAGCAATCGAAAGGTTCTTGCTGCCCTTGGCGATCTGCCGCAGCGTCTCGTCGAGCGACGCGACTGCCTTTGCAATGAAGCCGCGCTCGGTGGCCGCGAGGACGCCATCCAAATGTAGTCCGAGCGATTTGAGCAGCAAAAACACCTGCGGCGAGGTGCCGCTGCGTGCCAGGGCCGCCTACCAGAGCTGCGCGTAGAACACACCTTGGGCAAGCACTGCGCGCTTCGAGGTGTTGTAGGCACGGACGTAGTTGATCAGCAGAGCGAGTGCCGCCAAGGCCACAGGTGCGTTGGCCGCCGGATTGCAAAGCGTCGTGTAGATGGTGATCATGTGCCGCTGGAGCTCCAGCGCCGTCGCATCGTCCTGTACAGTCATGGAGGCGAAAAAAAAGACCGGTGAGGATGCTTGGGTACAGCAGAAAGCTGTCGGACGCCGCGCAGTCGCATCGTGTCAGCGGCGCCGGCGCCAGGCCACTAGGTTGTGTGTAGGCGCAAAAAAATCCTCGCCCAACTCGGCGATCGACGTGAGGATCGATGCGAGCTGGCACCACTTCCGTGTGCACGAGCGGTGCGAGAGAGGCCGTCGAGGCCAAGGGCCGACTCGGTGGCTCGTCACGCACGGATAGGCTGCGCCATATCTACAGCGACGTCGCGTGAGCGCCTCGGCCTGAGGCCTGCGCACGGCGTGCCACGTACCACGTGCCTGGAAAGGTGGCGATGATCAGTCCGAGAACCGCGGCAAGAATACTAGTGATTGGAATCCTTGCCACTCTGATTGGCCAGAAATCGCAAGTCCTGTAGCTCTTATTGGCTGAAACTCCTGGCGTTGACGAAAATGACCGACAAGGAACGCTCCATTGCGACCGAGCGATACCTCATGATTCCATGTGCGTAGAGATTGTTGATGGAGTCTTATCGAGCACAATGCAGCAGCATCAGTAGTGCCCAAGAAGCCTCGGTGTCGTCGTTCTAACGTCGCCAGTTATTATTCTTGGCGTTCGCCATTTACAACCACAAGTAACCATATTTGGGCGAACACGGGCCGCCTCACCGGCGGATCGACCAGAATGAAGTTTGATAATGAAATCTCCCATACTTGCCAGAGTACTAGGCCATACTTTGGGGAGTCCAAAATGCTATGCGAGGTCGCCGTGCGAGCTCTGTAGCGAGCGCAAATGACAGCGGCAAACAGTATTTTGATATAGTGTGTTTTTCTCTATACCGAAATAATGTATAATGATACAAGGCCTCTAATCACGCAGCGGTATCGTGCACACTCTGCCTCCTTCAGCCACATGCAACACGCTCTTTAACGTGAACAAAAAGAGACGGCGTCCTCGGTTTCCGCGACTTCGATGCATTTTCAACCGAAATTGCATGTCGAATTTCCTGAAAACCGACGCTCGGCAGTTCGAGTTTGATGTGAGTGCCCAAGCAACGATGGCGCTAAACAAACTGGTCGCACACCGGGTCGAGACCCATTGCCAACTGTGGCAGCCAGAATTGGGGTCCTTGGAGCTTTGGAACCCCGCGATGTCACGTGAAGTATTTTGGCAATTTTGCCACCACCTCGAAAAATGGAAAATGGATTGGCGCGTGATGGCGCTACGTGCAGCGTCGGAAATGGCATATACGTCTTTCAAGAAGTGTGTGGAGATGTATAACCGGCTGCTACGTGGCGCTGGTGCGTCTGTGGGCTGCTACTCGTCGTTGTGCTGAATGGTTCTCACACTATTTAAGACGAGGTCGTGCGTGAACTGATATCCGGATTTTGTCCGGATACGGATTCCATGTGTTGGAGTGAATCGGTCCTCAACGTCGTAGACCCAAGCGCTCGCATGCTGCACGAGACTGCAGCGGTCGTTGCAAGCGCTCAGAATTGACTTCAATAAAATTGCATTTTCGAAACCACTCTCTATGCGCGGAGCCGCAACGCTGGGATCATTTCAGTGGCCAAGGACGCGTCTGTCTGGAATTATGAAAGCGCCATGTATTGATTGTCTCGCGTTGAATATCTAGATGGATTATGTTGAAATAAAACAGCAATTGTTGGCGAGTTTCAAAACAAATACTTGCAGGCCTTTGATTGCCACGCACGTTGGCATTACAGCCTCTCTCGAGCTAGAGAAAGCGCCCCTGAAAATATCTCAGCGATTTGAGAAGGTTGCAAAAGTTTCGATTTCGGGTCGACAAGCCGCACGCCTGCCGTAGCGGTGCATGGCCAAAATGTAAGAGATATTGGAAAATGCTGGGATCATTTGTAACGGCCCACTACAAGTCGCTAGTGATGGACAGAGGTTCAACGTGCTGATCTGCGGCATCCCTAAGCACTGGGTGATTTTGCAATGAATTGACTTGAATAATATTGCATTTTCGAAACCACTGAGTCAAGCTTGGGTCACGCCTGCTTCACAACATACAGGAACGGGTGTCATACCACCATTTCAATTATTAATAGTCTGAGAGCTATTCCCCACGACGACAAGTATCAGCTCACAGACACGCCAACGCCACGTAGCAGATATATATCTGTCCACACACGCCGTGTATGGCGTACATGTCGTTTCCGACGCTGAATGTGACGCAATCACGCGGAAATCCATTTTTTATTTTTGGAGGCGGCGGCACAATTGCCCAAATACACTACATGTCGAGTGACGCGACTGCTTTCGCCATGAAATGCACGCAGCGGAACCTCGCCACATATGTTTTCGCTCCTCAAAGCACTCGTGCTGCACTCGGATAGCGTCCTCGCTGCCATCAAGCGCGGCTGGCCGCCTCCCATAGCTGCGCGTAGTAGAACACTCCTTGGGCAACGCTTCGAAGTGTCGCTGGTGTGTATGGTACAATTGTAGCTGATGAGCAGGCGAGTTGACCATCGGCTTGCAAAGCGTCACGTAGATGGTGGCCATTTGCCCTGGAAGCTTCAGTGCGTTCGGGTCGTCCTACGTCAAGCGTCTCGAACGCTCGGCCAAGAACTCGTCCAGTTTGGTTGATTTGGATCCTATAACCGGGGAATCATCAACCGGTTAATAAATAACCGGCTGCAGCATTACCGGTTGGAGTGTGATCCGGTTCGCGCACGTCAGATTCAGCTGGCTCCATTTTTGGACGATGCTCGCGCACCCGGCAGTCGTGACGACCGTGAAGCTGCTGGCGTCGGCGTCGGCCATCTACATGACCATGAGCCCGCTCAAGGACATGGAGAAGGTCCGCGCCAAGGTGCCCATCGAGAGCCTGCCCATTCTGTGCATGTTTGCCAACGGCTGCATCTGGTATTGCCGCCTCGCACGGGGACGACGAACTGATATGCGGCGTAGGACGCTCTACGGCGTGCTCGTGGTCAACTGGTTTCCGCTCGTCGTCACCAACGCCATCAATGCGCTGCTCGCCGTGTACTACCTCGCGATCATGTACACGCACGCCGGGCCGCACCGGCGCGTGCTCGCGCAGAAGATTGTGGGAACGCTCGCCGTCGTTGTCGGCGCGATCGTCTACGCTGCGTACGGCGCGTACGTTCTCCGCAACCGCAATGTCTCGGACCACATTGGCTACCTCGGGATCGCCGTGTGCACGCTCATGTTTGGTTCGCCGCTCGCGGCGGTCGGCACGGTCGTCAAGCAAAAGTCTGCGGCCATGCTGCCGCTGCGCCTCATCCTCGCCGGCGTACTCTGCGCGTCACTTTGGTTTACGTTTGGGCTCATGATCAGCGACCCGTTTGTGTATGGCCCCAACGGCCTCAACCTCGGCCTCGGTCTCTTCCAGGTCTTCCTCTGCGTCTACTACCGGACGCCGCCGAGTTACAAGGGCGTCGACACGACGACAGATGACGACGATGACGACCTCGAGCTCGCAAAACTCAATATTGGTGTCCTCTAATGCACGACGTCCATGGTGATATCAATGTCTTTGGCGTCAAAGTGCAGGAGCGCGTCCGTGGCGGTGGCGTCGGCGGGCGATGACGGGTACCAGAGGAAGAGCGTCATCTGGAGCAGGCCGAGGCCGAGGTTGAACGCGTTGGGTATGACGATGATCATGTCCGCGTGAAAGAGGCCCGTCAGCAACCACGCGCCGTTGCTCACGAGCGTCGCGAGCATGATCCTGCGCGGCAAGAGCGCGCTGCTCCGCGTGCGCACGACGTCGCGGAGCACCGAGAGCGGCGCGGCGACCATGACTGCCGCGCACACGATGGCCACGACGCCGACGTGGCGCGTCACGGCGTCCCACGGCTCGCTCGAGAGCGCGACGTAGGCCGCGAGGGTAGCGAGACCGCCGGTAGTCGCGCCATACACTCGACGCAGTCGGGTCTTCTCGGCGCTGTGCTTGTAAAAGAGAACGAGGTAGACGACGCTCACGGGCGCGCTAATCATGTTGGTCGAGATGTACGGGAAGAAGACGCCGACGCAGAGGCTGTAGAGAAGCCTAGCCCACGATGTGCGATGGTGACGACATTGCAAAGCAGAGTACCAGACGACATAGGCGATGTGCATCCAGAGCAGCGGCGCGACGCCGTGGCTGCCCGTCGTTTTCGCCACCGAGATCTGGCGCAGGAGCGAGATCGGACTCAGCAGCAAGTACAAGGACGAGAGGCTCGCGACGATCTGCACGACGAGGCTCGCGTCGACCATTGCCAAGTTGAAGTTGCGTGGCCGTATTCTTGTCAGCAGCGAAACGTTTTGTTCGCTGGAAAAAGTCTCGACGTATGCTGATGACTTCGTCATCTTCCTCTCCAGCGCAGCGCTGTACCTGTCCTGCCTGCGCATGTGAGACGCCTCGATGCCTTCTCTGTCCAACGCGTGGTCTTTGACACGCCACATTGTGTTTTTCCCAATCGCACGCGAAATTCCCACGTGGACACGCATACAAAAAGCTAGTATAGAGATGGTGAGGGCAATGGGAGATACGTGTTTGTCCCAAGATGATCTTTCGTGTCCAACGCCATTTTGAATATGACGTCGTTTGCGCTCATCGAGGCGCAGCTGCAGTCGACGGCCGCGTACGAGCAGTCGTACGATGGCGTCTCGCCTCCGCGCCGCTAAGAACCTCTGCTAGGGATGCCTCCGCGCTCCTCTTCGACCATTGGTACGACCTCGCCAAGGCCTACGCGGCCAACTTTGGCCCCGACAGTACGTGCGTCGTCCTCGTCGCCGCCGGTGCTGAGCCGTCGTAGCCGTGCCGCAGATGCTCCACGAGACGCGCCACGCCCTCGCCATTGCCCTCACAACGTACTCGCCCGACCGCCTCCGCGACCCGTCCACCGACATGTACGCTGTCCGGTACGCACGCTTCGATGCATTCCAGTCTACCGCATCGTAATTCCTAGCGAGCTCCTCCGGCATGCGCAAAAGATCTTTGAGATTCTGCGCACGAAGCCCAAGTTTACAGCCCTCCTGGACCCGCTCGTCGCCGAGGAAGATGCGAGGAACGCGCTCTGCGCGTGGCTCATCGATGTGGGCGTGCCGGCCCTCGAAGCGATCGGGCTCTCGGAAACGTCGCCTGCCAACGTCCGCGTCGAC